TGGAGACAACCAATGATTTTCCCTTGCTTTACAATTGATGGAACCGAAAAATCACTTCAACTCAAAGAAATTTGAGTCATCCAAACTAAGATTACAAAGATATAGAAGGAAAAAATCGGGACTTGGAAATTATTTTGACTCAAGCAATTTCAAGATGAGTTTCAACTGCATACGAAAAAGTGTATGATGATGGGAAACACATTCATTATTCATTTTTCAATTTATTGATTGGTGAACTAAAGAAATATCATAACATCTTACAACTTATTTTTTATTTATGTAAGAGATAAAAAAAGTTAATTTCTCAATATGAGAGATTTTTACTCCCTGGTCTATTCTAATTGCCCTTTATCCATGGTCCATCATCCATTCATAGATAATTGTTGTTACCACTATTTCTTGAGAAGTACTTAAGAGATATTTCTCAAACTTCATATGTAGGTTTCCATTTGTCCCTAGTTGTGTCCAATTAGTTTTGAATGTGATCAGTACAACAAAGTGGATCACAGGTGGCCATTTTATATTTCTACATATAAAGTTTGATGTTGCTTCAGAAGTACAAGAGAAATTTCATAAATTTGATGTGTACACATTCCTCACGGTCCCTAGTTGTGCCCATTTCAGATTTATTAGTCAAACAAAATGGCTGACAGACTGCCATCTTGGATTCTGACAACTGAGTTTGGATATCACTATTTCTCAGAAAGTTCTTGTTAGATCTTAGATTTCATTAACAGGATTCCTTTATAACCAAATGATTAAGAGGGAAAGGGGAAAGTAGTTTTACATAGAACGAATGAAGATCATTCAATGATGGGTACCAATACCACTCTGGGATTTCTTGCTAACATTTGAAAGTTTGAATTAAAAGTGATTATATGTATGTGAAAGCACAACTTAATAGACTATTGTTTCCTTATTACCAAAAAATGAAAACTGAGAAGTGGCCATGTTACTATCACTGCAAATTCCTGTGATACTTTTTGTTTCTATGAAGAAAAAATTCTTCCCTAAAAATGATTTTTGAAAAAAATCTCAATGTCCTGATCAAAAATATTTCTGGGGTCTATTATACTTCTTTGCCTGGAGCAACTGAAACAAGATTGTAATCTTAATGTATAATAATGTGTACACTCACGTATTACAGTGTTATCGTACTGAAGAATATCATCACTATCGGTGATTACGATGTACCCTGTATACATTCAGCATAAAATACTCATGCACGCTTTTTCATAGTTTGATGGAAAAATAATGTATGCTTTAAGCTGATCTGAAATAACAGAATATTTCCTCATATCATTTATTTTTTTTATTAAGATTAATTAAGATTTAATCATAAAATCCTACATGATGTTAATTATATGGTCAATTCATTTCAGAATTAGTAGCTTGAAGTCATGTTGAAGCAAGTAAATAAGGTAAAATATCAGAAAAAAGGTTCTTTTATAATTAGGAAGAGTAATCTTAATTTGAATTTACTCTGAGGATTTTGAGGACTATTAAAAATTAGCATCTTATATTTTACAAAGCATTAATATTTAAACATGACATCAAAATATAAATGGTGCTTGCATGCTGATAATCAAAAATCTGTTCTGAAGACTGGACGACTTTTAGAGATAAACAAGTGCCTAGTGGCCTTGACAGTCACCTGAGATAAGCAATATTGAATATAAAGGATAGTTTTCAAGTGTCTAGAAACAGAAATTGTGATTCTGAATATGGAGTGTCAATACATGCATTCCAACAAAACTGTCATCCTATACTGATAATTCCAGTGGGAAATAACCAACGTTATGTTCAAAAATACATTTTTTCTATGAAAATTACAGTAAAGTGTTAGAAAAAATATTCCTCCCCAGGAGAAAATTTGTGACTCATTTTGGTAATTAAAGTACCTTAAGATGTTTCCTTTCATGAAGAGTATTTGATTCTACCATATCAGGGTCTTGAGAAGAAGATTTCTGAAATTTATGTCAATTTGACCCCTTTTGGCCCTGCCCATCAGACCCTGGGGGTCATTCAGGATCAAAATGGACATACCCTCAAGCTGTCATACTTCACTCATAATTTTAACCAAGTTTGAAATATTTCCAATGGAAATTAAACAAATTATGCTAAAAAATCTAGTTTTCCTATATAAACTAAAGTAAACTTTACCCCCTCCCCACAGAGATATATGAGACCCTGGGGCCATGAAATTCACAATTTTGGTAAAGCACCTTAAGATGCTTCCATTCATTAAAAGTATATGATTCTACCATATCTTGGTATTGAGAAGATTTTTGAAAATCCCTTTTGGTTCTGCCCCTCAGGCCCCTGAGAGGTGGGGACTGTATAATTAAAAATATTGGTTCATCTTAGGCCAGAGAAGGTTTCCACAAAATTTCACTGAAATTGGATCAGGGGTTTTTGAGAAGGAGTTGAAAGTGTTAATTTGTTTACGAATACCCAATGCATGGAGCATAATGCCTGATGAAGGGTATTAGAACAGGTCACCATGAGACTTTGTCTCAGATGACCTAAAAAGACATGAATTTTTGTTTATTTTGCAGTTTCATTATAACAACTAAGAGAGACGGATGCCACATAAAAGTACACAAAATTCTTGCTTTTAAAGTGTCAACTACTACATATATTTGTTCAACTGATGATATGTGGGGTGCTCCTTGTAGTCTTATCAATAAGGCACAAAAGACAGTTATTCTCCTAAGGTCCTTTGATTAAAAAAAATCATTTTCACAAATAGGTATTCTAATTCTGTAACAATGAAGCCTAATGGTTGATTTAGGAACAAAATGAAGATATCTGAGTGAACTTTGTGTATCTGCGTAAATTTGAGTGAACTTTATATGTATTTGAGTATATCTCAGTGAACTTTATGTGTGTTTGAGTGTATTTGAGAGAACATTATGCGTATTTGAGTAAAAAGTCCAGCCCTGCATAAAGTGCACCTGTGGCCTTAATCTACATCAAAGTGATGCTTATCTGAAGACAACATGATGAGTGAATGATGCCATATGAAAAGGACTCGCTTTAGAGTTTATTTCTAGAGATTGAATGTAAGTGAATATTGAAATGAAGAAATTAAAAAAAATTGCCTGAAATTGAGCAAATATGCAAACAATATTGATTTCACTGACTTACATGATTCATCCTTTATCTCATTTTTATCTACATGAAGGAAATGTGACTGGACCTCACTTGGATATTTGCCATATATCCATATAGTCATATTTGACTATAAAAAGCCAAATCTGCTTGTATAGTCAGATTTACTGGCGCTCCTGTAGTCAGACTCAGAAGCACCAGTCACACTTCCAATTTGGGAAGATATACACAACTTTAATAATAAATAGAGTACAGTACAATTACAGTCTAAGGACAAAAGTAGCAAAATGATAACCTGCAATAATGGTATGTTGGTTTCTGTATTGTTTAAGTCGGAACTACAAACACAATGCAGAAATCAGTCAGACAATGTAACATCACTGGAAACATCACAGTCTTTTTCCCTGATTGGCATTCTATTTTTTTCGCCTGCTCACATGGGTTTGTTTACAAACAGAAGTAGTAAAATGAACCCAAAGTCCAGATATGTAAGTGAGGGCCAGAGACAAAGTGTAACTGTATGGTTCAGAAAGGCTTATTCTTCCAAAATGATTTACCGAATATGCCTCACTGCTGTACATAGAATTTACAGGAATTTCTGTGAATGTGGGAGCATGGAAATGGTGGAAAACTGGGCCAACCCAAAAATTTAACTGCATGCAAAAGACGGAAAATTTTGAGAGAAATAAAAAAGCTGACTTGACAGATGCCATTGGCTAACATTTGTAATAATTTCAAAACTTATGAAAAAGATATATTTCATATAAAACTATGGAAAGGTTTATTAAAATCAAATGGATACAGCAGATATGTTTGTAAGAAACGAATTAGAATTTCTCGTGTCAACAGAGCAAAATGGGTGACCTGGTGCAATGAAAAACGGTTCTACACGGCGGACTGGAGAAAAGTGACATTTTCAGATAAAAGTCAGATTGTGATTGGAATAGAAAATAGAGTATGTATTTGGAGGAAATCTGACCATGCATGTCATCCGAAGAGTATTTCTCAAAGAGTTGCAGACAAAAATCTATGCCTTATGGGATGCATCACAAATCAAGGTCCTCATTCCCCATTACAATCTTAACTGCCTATCAACACATAAAAGGTCATTAGAACCATCAACCGCTAAAACACACAGCGATCCACACAATGTGTTGGGAAACTCATGCGTGTCAATGGTCACATCAATTAGGAAAAAACGTGTTGAAATTATAGACCAATACTTGTGGCCGGTGATTGCTAGACATTTTCCGTATTATAATTTAGTGTTTCAGGACAATAATGCTCCTGTTCACTTGTTTCAGGAAGGTATTTATGGAAACAAACCAAAATAAACACAATGAGCTGGCACACAGAGTTCCGACTTAAGCATCATAGAAAACTTGAGGTTGTTAATTAAAAGGGCAATTAAACATTCAGTTGACAGAATAGATTCAACCGGGCAACTTTATATCAAAAACTATCCTAGTTTCCGTTTGGACAAGATTTGAGGTTAAAACTATCCAAAACCTATACCGGTCGATTCCAAAAAGGATTTCTCATGTAAGAAAGACTCGTGGAAACATGAAAAATATTCGGTGAATAAGATAACAGAATATTTGAATTCATCGTGCAATTTAGCTACGATCTTCGTATTTACTGTAGTATAATTTATTTCGTTTTATGTAGATGCAAACTGCGAAAATCGTTTTCTGAACGAAGCGCAAGCGACACAACTATTGACAGCGCAATGTCACAGTCGTTCCACAGCTTTTGTCTAAAGTATGTATATACCTGACATCAGATCTCTTTACCGAGGACAACATGTGTCAAAAGCATCACCAAAAGATTTAGATGTTGATTATCAACGTAAATCTCTAATGTATCAGACGATAAAAACCACCTACCTTCGCCATCTTGGTTTTCAGCTAATATATGTTGCCAACTGAGGAAAGATGCGGAAAGGGCTCAAAAGAATATGGTAAATTTCACAATGGAAGTCAATCACACGTCCCATATAACTCTTTTTTGCTTTGATCTGAAATAGCAGTAAACTCAGTAGATGCGTTCCTCGTCTTGTGGCAAATATGAAACTCGCCAGATCTTCGTTGAAAAATTGTAACAACCAGAATAATGCAATGTCTATAAATAGAATGCCACGTGTGAATTGTTGATACACCAAATATGACGTGTCAGTTGAATTAGTTCTAAAACACACATGATATCTAATTCTTGGGCTGAAAATACTTTGGACCACAGATCATTTGGCACGAATTCCCGACCCCCGGTCCAAGTGTATGTATTATAGTGACTAAGATACATACTCAATGTATGATACCAGAGAATTTCTGTCAGTATAAAATGTAAGCTGTATTTTGGCGAGGGTGAAGAAAAAAAAAGTGGCAAGCCTCTGGCGATTTATGAATTTTTAATTCTCAATAATAAATGGTCAGAAACATGGAAAAAATGGAAAGATAAAAAAAATTAACCCAAGGCAAATTATAGATAAACCTAATGCTAAATCAATAGATTTAGGACGAAATAAGTTAGTAGATATTATCACCACAAGACCAAGATTAGGAACCACGAAATTAAAAGAGTACCATCAGTATAATGGTTAAAATACCGCACCAGACTGTACGCATTGCAAAACAGAAGAGACAATATATCACATTTTTTTCTGTATTGCAATTTATTCGATCAGGAAAGAACAGATCTCATTGCCGAATTCAAAAGAATTAAAAATCCAATAAACATCCATCAACCAGGTTTTAATGCCATATTTAAATGAAAGACTAGTGCATTGACTCCTCGTTGAATTGCTAAGAAAAATGTACTACAAAATATAAACGGTAAACAGAAAGGTCGAAGGGAGACAACTCCCAAACATCAGAAACCCTAAACACACCACTAAACACGACATGTATGATCACCATTACCCAGGGAGACCGTACTAGAGAAGATTACTACGGCCCCTCTCATCCATTGTGCATATTTACACCCCATGAGGTATGTGGTGTCCTCATCTGGCCCCACTCCCAAGCATTCACATTCACCTACTCAGGTGACAGGTCTCACGTGTAATTCGTGGCATATTATTAAATTTAGCTATATAGCAGAGTGTTCGGGTGGTATTAGTCAGTCTGGCAGTAGCTTTCATGTAGCTGGTCAGCTCTCTTTCTCCCTAGAAAGGTATGTAGGACTCTTTCGGCCTTAGACCTCTAAATTACTCTGGGTTGGGTGGTATTTTCCCCTAGCAGGCAGTTTTTAGTGGTTTATAACACTATGTAGGATTTATGACAGTATTTTATACCTCGGGTTGGATGGTATTTTCCCTTAGCAGGCAGTTGCTTAAAGTTATTATTATGTTCTGTTAGGGTTTACGGTAGTGTTACATATCCCAGGGTTGGGCAACTGGGTGGCAGTTGTTTTATGATAGTAAGAATTTACTGGTAGCGTAACCAAGTCATAGCCGTCGTCGGAGCCGGTGTATCTTGTTCATCATTGTAAATATCTCCATGTTTATTTGTCTGTTGTAACTAATAAACTCGTTAACTTTTATTCCTGTCTTGAGTTATTGGTCTGTAGCCAAGGAATAATAAGACAGAACCACAGAGAAGACGAACTAGAAATTATTCCACTATACGATCACTCTGTCAGAAGTACCTGTTTACTGTGACGAAATTAATACTTTTACACTTAAATAAAACAACACACACAAGTAAACACGCCCCTACAAGTATTTATTAAAACTATGACTGAAAAGGAAGAAAAACGCACAAACAAACTTCACGTTTAAGACCCTACGCCCAGTATAGATTAAACATAAAGGAACTTTCGGGTACAACGGTCATGGACTGGTTTGCAGTCAGATTCGGGTCTTGTACCCAAGCTTGTAGCATATGGAATCCTGTTAGAGAGGGCAATGGGGATAAACAGTTCTCGATTATCATTATACATAACTAGGAATCTAAAATCTCACACAATTAAACTCAACGCACAAGCATACATACAATACAACACAACGCACAAACATACAAACCAATTAAACACTATACAATACCCCTATTCCACCGTACCCCCATCCCATCTCACACCCTATATAAATAGTACTTCTACACAAACCGCTGGTTGTATATAATGGTATATAGTTTAAATCAGACAACTTAATTCCTCTCTATCTATACTCAAATGTAACTAGACAGAATTAACAAATCAGTCGTATTAAACGTATACCCTAAAACATAATTCAACCGTTTTATTAATGCATGCATAAAGAATCTCTCTGTTTCCAAAACCTTAAATCTATCTTAAATAATCTCTGCCAATCATGCCACTTTCGAATTCAACGTAACTTATCATGCCTAAACCTTTCATAACCCTTCTAAATCAGCAAATTCGCACACATTACACAGTAATTATAAAAAGTCGGTATAGTGAACAGATGTATGCAGAGGGAATGGAGCAGAATCACACTGAAAAGCATCAGACATTTGTAAAGCGATCACATAGCTTAATCAGTATGACAGGAAACGTTCTAAAGGCGGAACAAGAAAAAACAAGAGTTAATTATAATTTCAACATCACCGACTTAATCACTAAAAACTAACTATAGTACGACAGATGGGACTTTAAACGGTGGCCCGTGTGAAGATTGTGCACTCTCGCACGCTCAAGAATACGTAAATTTAAGAGTAGAACGGAATCAATTAAAATTCATATAAACATGTACAGTAGATTTTATTAGTTTCTGCTATATAAGGTATACATGTACATAATGTATAACAGTGCATATTTATTTAAAAAGCAACAAAACACATTTTTTGCTTATATTCGAGTAAAATGGACACTTTGATTACAAGCCCTTTGTTTTAACAAAGTGTTTGACTCTAAAAAGAGCCGTTGTTAGGGTTTAAGGCTGTCATCATCACTCTTCATTTTCGTCTCTGATCCCGAAGTCACCGTACAGATCCTTTCTGAGTTCGACGACGTCATCAGTACTTTGGTGGGCGTAGTGTAGTACGTGCCTTCGACATCTGTCATTCGAAGTCTGTAATTGTTACGAAATGCCTGTAGTCCGTCTCTCTTGGTGCTGAGGTAATGGGGCAGCGTATCGTCCAGTTTGTAATTCAATTAAACGATTTGATGACAAGCCTTTCGTGATGGAATTAAAGTCTCCACCAAACTCTAGTTGAGTTTAGTGGAGTTTTCTTTATCACCAAATATATTACTGCAGGTCAGTATATGACGTCACTGAACACAATTAGCATATGTAAATTGGCCAAACATGTTGTCTAACACGCACGCACGCACGCACGCACACACACACACACACACACACACACACGCACACACACATACACACACGTACACACACACACACACGCACACACACACACACACACACACACACACACACACACACACACACACACACACACACACACACACCACCACCACCACCACCACCACCACCACCACCACCCATACCCCTCCCCCCCCCACACACACACAACCCCACGCACACGGACACCCCTCCACCACACACACACCTACATCACCACCACCCCCCACCCTAATACCCCCAACACACAACCACCACCACCCCACTCCCATACACCCTACACACACACATACGAACACGAACACCCCTTCCACCACACACACACCACCACCACCCCATACCCCCAACACACTACCACCACCACTACCACACACCCCCATACTCCCCAACACACCACCACGACACACACGCTACCACCACCACCACCACCACCACCACACCCAATACCCCCAACACACCATCACCACCACCAACACCAACACCAACACCACTACCACCACCACCCCACCTCCATACCACCCCAACATACCACCACCACCATCACCCACCAACACCACCACCACCACCATCACCACCACACCATCCCATACACCCCTAACACACCACCACCACCCCACCCCCATACTCCCCTACATACACTACCACCACCACCCAACCCCGTACCCCCAAACACACTACCACCACCACAAAAGCTCATCCTGGATTTAATTATCCGTTAGTAGCAGGTCTCGTGTAATTAAATAAAATATAAAAAAGTTCTTTTTAACATTTTACTTCGATTCAATAATAATTTTTAAAAAAAGTTAATAGAAAAAGAAAAGGTAATACATACATCTACTGTTCTTTTCACTCGCAGATTAAAAAATAACCTTTCTAGTCCCTGTGTATTACTTTTTTTATAATATGTGGTCTTTGATCAAGCGAAGACCGGAAATAAAGAGTAAAATCTAATTTGCATATTCAAATAATTCATTTAAATGTATTGTACAATTTGGACATAGTGACGTTTTAAATGTCCTCTTTTGTGACAGACTCTCGCCCACCGTCCTACCTTAGGTATTTTTCTCATATTGGTCTCATGAAATCGTCTATGTGGGTGTAGCGTCATTAGCATACACGGTGCTGATTCACTTAAAATTCAATGCAACCTATAAAAGCAGCCTATCGAAAGGTATTCACATTTAAAATAACCAGCCACGAAGCAATATTTTCGGAAAAAAATAATGGAAAAATAAAGCTGTGATATGGGGAGATTTTGAAGCTAATGGGTTCTGGTGTAGTAAATCTGTTTTACATACGTTCAATATACGTTACCTTTCTCATGATACACAGTGATATCATCTAAACATAGTTAAAAACAATTAGTTGAACGAGTGTGGAAACCGAATTTGATTGTCACAATTTACAAAATGTAATATCCGACATTACTTTGCTGTCTGGTTCCGTTAGTATTCTTAAAGTGGCGTATTTTGAAATGAATGGTTTAAAAACACCGCGTCTAAATTTTTTTCCTGTTGTATATATAGAATACAAAATCAAAATTTCAACACGTCTTGAAAACGAAGCCAAGTG